CAAACCTTTTTTCAAAGTTCTTAGTTTCTTAGCATTGGGTTAGAACAAGTTCTTTTAATTCACAGAAGTTTCTTATCATCCACCTTTTAAAGCCTGCTTCTGATAATGGAACATGCTCGTTCTCCATCAGGCCTTGTTCCATTGCTGATGAGGAATTGTGATCCCCTGTAGAGGGAGAGGCGTTCTGATTCTGGTTATTCTGAACCTTTTTAGGCTGGTTTCTTCCCTTTGTTATAAATTTATCCATCTGTGGTCTTTATAATTACCGTCTTTATAGTTGGGTTTCTGAGTGGATGTCCAACTTGTCGATTCCCAGAGCTAAAATCTGAGCAACCCACTGCGCTGGCCAAAACAGCAGTGTTAAGATTGATGGTGCTTTTCTGACTGCACCAAGAAGCGCCACACCAAGGCAGCGGCAAAACTGCCTCGCTGGCCACAAGAGTTGCGCTGGCAACCCATGGGGCTCCTCCGCTGGGAATCTCCTGGTGCATGAGCAACAAAAATTCGTCTGAAACTGTGGCGTCCTCTCGTTCTCTGTGCTTTCACTGGGAGCTACAATCCCAAGCTGCTAGTGATCAGCCATCTTGGATCTCTCTCCTCAGTTTTTTTTTTTTTTTTTTTTTTTTTTTCTCTCTCTCCCTCTCTCTCTTTTTTTTTTTTTTTTGAGATGTTGTCACCCAGCCTGGAGTGCAGTGCAGTGGTATGATCTCAGCCTACTGCAGCTTCTGCTTTCCAGACTTAAACAATCCTTCCCACCTTAGCCTCCTTTGTAGCTGGGACCACAGGCACAAGCCACCATGCCTGGCTAATTGTTTGTATTTTTGGTATAAACTGTTTTGCCATGTTGCCCAGGCTGAACTTCTGAGCACATGTGATCCGCCCATCTCAGCCTCCAAAAGTGCTGGGATTACAGGCATCAGCCACCACACCTGGCCAGAGGTTTTCTTTCTAGGTAACTCTATGCTTGTATCTTGCTCTTTTTAGGATTTACTCTTTATCTTTGACTTTAGACAGTTGGACTGTAATGTGTCATGGAGAAAACCCTTGCAAAATGTATCTTCCTGGAGATCTCCGAATCTCCTGTATTTGAATGTCTAAATCTCTAGACCCTTTAGGAAGTTTTCATCTATTATTTTACTAATTAAATTTTCTAATCTTTTGTTTGTCTCATTACTCTCAGAGATACTAATAACTCAAATATTTGATCACTTTGTTTTCCCAAGTGTCATGAAGGCTTCACTCATTCTGTTTTATTCTTTTTCCTTTTGTCTGACTGGATTATCCAAAATCCTGTCTTCAAGTTCTGAGATTCTTTATTCTTCCTTATCTAATCTATTTTTGAAGTTTTCAAATGTATTTTATATTTTCTTCAATGAATTCCTCAGTTCTGGAATTTCTATTTGGTTCTTTAAAAAAAAAAATCTCTTTGGTAAATTTTTCTTTCATATCCTGAATTGTTTCTCTGATTTCTTTGTATTGTTTTTCAGAGTTCTCTTGTATGTCACTGAGCTCCTTTAAAATCAATATTTCAAATTATCTGGGATTTCAAAAATTTATTTTTGATTATGCACTATTGCTGATGTTCCTTTAGAGGCATCACATTTCCTTAATTTTTCTTGAACTCTTGACCTCAGGTGATCCACCCACCTCGGCCTCCCAAAGTGCTAGGATTACAGGTGTGAGCCACAGCTCCTGGCCTTCCTTAATTTTTCATGTTTCCTTTGTCCTTAAGTGGATTCCTGCAAATTTTCAGTAACTGTTGCTTCTTCCTGTTTTTTGAATTTCTTTCAGAGAAGAGGACTTTTTCCTAAAGGTGTATCTATGGTTTTGGTTAAGTAGGGTACTTTGGCTTTGACTCTAGTTGCATGTAGTCTCTGTATGATTTTTTGGGCTGTAAATAGTGTTAGTAGCATCCATAATTTCCCCATTGGGTTAGGGTGAAGTTGTACTAGGGGTTGAGATGCCAGGTGGGTCAGTCTTCAGGCTCTGATGGTGACAGCAATGGGCCAAGTGTGCCTGTTGTGCCCCAGGGCTGTATATGCTGATGCCTCTGTTGGCAGGCTGATTTCTGGGCCTTCAGGTAGCATGTTCAGATTCTGGTAGTGGCAGCAATGGACTGGGTGTGTGGGTGGATTCTTGGGCCTTTGGGCAGCTGGCATAGCATGAGCAATGGTAGTAGCAGGAGCAGGATGATTCTTGGGTTCCAAGTGGTGTGCACTGATGTTGGTGGTTGCTATGATGGGCTGGGTGGGACAGCCTCTAAGCCTCAGGTGGCACTTGCAAGGAAGTTCCAGGTGAGGTGGTGGCAGCATGGAGTTTAGGCCCAACCATAGGCCCCAGAAAGAGTGCTCAGGTACCTGAGGTGTTGGATTGCATTGCACAGTCCCCAGGACCCCAGGATATGTGCCTTGTCTCAAAGAGTGGTACAAAGCTGGGGTGTGCAGGTTTGTGCTCAGGCCTCTTGGTGAAAGCACGCACCACTGTTGGTGGCCAGGGGCGAGGTGATCCTCAGGCCCCAGGCAGAGTGCTCAGGTAAGGGATGGTAGCAGCTGTGCTGAAATGTTGCCACTGGACAGAGTGTGGCTGTGCTCTGTGGCCACAGCCTGGGCTAGAGGGTGGGAATGTATGTCCTTTCCACAGTCGCAGTGGGGCTTGCTTTCCAGACTTGGCAGTGTTATCTCACACTCCCACCCTGGCTGCAGGAGGCCCCATTCAGCTGGTGACCAAGTCTTGGCGGCAACTTACACCCTTTCAGCTTCCCAGTCTCTGTTCCAGCAGCACTCACTTCCTGGCATCAGCAACTGCAACTCTTTCCTTGTTTGTTTCTTAGCCCTGGCTGTGGGAGTGCTCACAGCTCACTCCCCTTCCCAGCAGCAACAATCTGGGTTTCGATAACACCTCAGTCCCAGTGCTTGTGGGTCCCAGGACAGCATGCAGTCTACCCAAGACTAGGTTTGAAAATGGTGCCTTACTGTTACTTAGGTCTCAGAAAGGTGTGGGGTCCAGTGCAAGCTCCATCTCTGGAGCCGTTCCATCCCACCGTCTCCCGGCAGCTCCCTATGTTAGCTTCAGTGGTTGGGAGGGTTGAGGGGTCTCTCATGGCCAAGATTACGTGATTTCATGGTGGGGATCTGGGCCACTGGAAGTTTCTCATTCATCCTTTCCCTGAATTGAGAAGTTAACTCCCAGCTCCCAGTTGATCCTGGCTAGGCAGGCTGCTTGTCTCCCTTCTCCTTCCCTGCTTTTGGTGTTTCCTGCCACTTCTCTGTTGAATTCCAGTGTTCTCTCTTGGATAATGTATTCAAAGTGTGACTGTCTACACACTATTTTTGTTCTAAGTAGAAGAGACTGGCATGAAATATTTCTGGTAGCTATCTTTGTCTATGCTATTTCTAATACTATGTGCTGTACCTCGGTAAGTTCCTCTGGAAAAGTTGAGACCTATGTTCACAAAATAAAGGCCACAAAGTTACAAGAAGGCTCACCTATTTCCTCATGGTTATTTCAGTTTTCATTTGTTTAAGCCTATATCCATGGCTCAAAACCATTATGCAAACTGGGATTCTCATATTACTATTGATTTTAATTTTCCTTTATATTTTCCTCTGCTTCCTTTATAACTTCCTATCTGTTACTTGTCAAATCTCTGTAGAAGTATACCTTCAACAGAATAATACTGGCCTTGCATTTTGAGATGATAGCAAATGTTTACAGAACAGACAAAATTAAACTTAGCAATACACTTCAAGTAGACATATCCTGAGAGCCACTCTCTCCAAACTTCTGTTTTGCTCAAACATGGCTAAAGGGTTTTGACACTGACTTTTAATCACCATCAAATTCCTCCAGTGTGAGACCAGACCAGCCACCTAGGACAGGTCTATCCTGGCACCAAGGAATAATCAAAACTTCATTATGGTATGACTCAAGGGTTTTGGCACTGACTTTTAGTCACCATCAAATCCCTCCAGTGTGAGACCAGACAAGGATAAATCTATCCTGGCACTGAGGAATAATCTAAACCTAACTATGGGATGATTGATCGGGGATATTTTCTAAGAAAGATGTTAATCAAATGGAGGAAATGTGGAAGTTGTCAGAATTATAAAAGGAGTCACTTGTGAAACAACAAAACAAAACAAAACAAAAGCCTGACAAGTAGAGCCATGGAAGGCCAGAAAGAAGGGTTCTCATGCATAAATAACTGATAACAAGAGCCATGACAAGACAAAAAACTACAACCTTGCACAAAGGCCATCACAATCTTAAACACACACACACACACACACACAGCCTCCTGCAAGGACCTCTGCCCAGCAACTCCCTGTCCAACCTTGGACTGGCACCACCCTTATTATTGATCCTTGTAGCCAAGGATAATTGTCTCAAAATAATTATGTAATCCTCCTTATTTTTCCTTTAAAAACCTTTGTCTCTTTTTTACCTCTTCAAATACACACATAATTTACTATGGCACACGTATTCCCATTACAATGCCCTATCCCCTCACATATCGTTTTCTTTTAGAGAGCCTCTCTCTGTTACCTAGGTTGACAGATATGATGGAGTAGAGCAGCCCCAGTTAAGGTATTCCAACCGGCAGAGGCCCCAGCTGACCCACATTCAACTGAGCTCAACCTCGGTCAGCTGACTGATCCCCTACTAAACCCTAAGCTATGGTAATAGGTGACTGTTGCTTTAAGCCATTGAATTTGAATACTTTTTTTTTTAATACAGAAACAGATAAATGATACAATGCTTTATGAGCTAATAATGGCAACTTGGAAAGCAATGCTCCAGGTGGTTTTTACATGATCTCCTTGTAACGTTTGCTTCTGCTGAGTGAATGGGCCAGGCCATAACATTTTAGGCATTTTGTTTATAACTGGTTGCAATCCTACAGTCTCATTATACATAGTGCAATAATCAGGAACAGAGCAATCAGAACCTTCACCGCCCCCACACCACAAAGAGCTCACATTGCAGTAGTCTATAAATCATTTTATCAATGTGTTTATTGAGATTATAAAATACAATAAGTTATATATATATACAGAATTAGACAAAAATATTGACCATTAAGACTTCACTGTCTAAGGGCCACAGACCTACCCTGGGGTGTTTTCCAAATGTTTTAAAGTATTGCAAAATAATGAATATCTCCACACGAAAATGGCAGGATGGAGTCTCAGCTTTGGTCAATGAGAATTATTATGATCTCACTGTTCTGAATCCCATAACATAGGCTAAAGCTTGTGAGAGTAAGTCCCATGTTTCCAAATAAGTAAATGACAAGGGAATGTGTACTACATAAGGAATAGCTCCCTAAAAATGGCAGGTGGAGAGCCAATGGAACATGAGCTGATGCTGGCCTGGCCTTATGGCCACGGAATACTAATAGTGTGAAATGAGGCCAAAGCACCGGGAGCAGAGAACAGCCACCCTGGTCCTTTATTGAAAACATTCTGAGGAGGGTGCAAGCTGTTTTCCTGGAATGGCACACTCATCACAAGTGACATTTGCAGTCTAATTAAAGAGAGACTCTCATCATCATTATCACAAGGCAGGGGGAAGGGGGCACCACAGGATTTCAAAGAGGAATTAAAAGGATAATTAAGCTCTGCCGTGGAGTATTTAGCTTGCAGGATAAACCAAATAGGTTCTAAAAAACAGCAGCAAACAGACACAGTAAATGATGAAATTAAATATTCAGGACCTCATTATGATCCTCTCACAGTATGTACTACATTCATTGGCGGGAAATTACTTGTTGGTGTTAAAGATATGACTGATTTTCCCCCAAAGTGTTTGTTCAGTCATGCAACTTGTAATTTTTACAACTTCGCTTTATAAGTCAGAGACTTTGTTTTAATTTAGTAATAAACACAGTCAGACCTGCCATCAGGGAGCTCAGCAGTGAACTCTAAATTAACCCCTGGTGTGATCACTATCCTGGCTCCCGAGTTCTTGGCAGTTACAGGGATAGTAAGAGAATTTGCCAAGAACAGCGCCAGTTTATTAACTTTCTGCCTACAAATGTTACGTCAAACCATTGCAGTTACTGTGAAAATGCCAATTCTGAGTTTTTCTGTTTTTATTCCCATTTAAATGGACAACCCACATTGTATTCACTTCTATAGAGCTCCTCAAAGGCCTGGCATTTCCTACAGCTCCACTTTCTTCTTGCTCACCTGAACCCCACCTGCCCCGATTATAGAAACACTGACTAACATCTCATTTGCAGAAGAGAAACTGAGGCTGAGGCTAAGGTGACACAACTAGAGCCCCGCTTCCTGGACTCCAAGCCCAGGCTCTCATTTGCACTGTAGGACTCCACTTTCCCTGACTGGCTCAGAAGGCTGAGTTTCAGACTCTCACACCATAAGGCTAATCCACAAATCTCAGATGCTTTTGAAATCTAACATTATGTATGGCTGAACTCTTAGGAATTCATCATTTCTCTTTCTAATTAGAGTTGACTACTCATACATGTTTGAAGTGAAAACACAGCCTGACACATAATTTAAAATGCTGTGTTTTTGAGCATTGCTGCCCCTAAAAGGTCTAATCTGCCTAAGGCTGAGAGTGGAAGGCCATTCACGTGTAATGCAAACCACAGGTTTCCCAGGCCAAAGACTCATGCAGTAAATGAAATTGGCTACTGCATACATCCACTTGCTTGGACAAACACACACCTTGCATACTGGTTTTGTATAGAGTAAGCGCTTTGATTACTGACTGGAAGGGCTGTAAGAATACAGACGACCTCAAGGATAGGTAAAGTTATCCTAATGAAACCACATAGGATATTAACAGACTTGTACGAAACCTGAAATAATACCTGGAACAATGTGTCTGCATTTTGTAGCTATTTTACCAAAATGTTTGAGCTGCTTCTTCACTAGGATGCCGTCCTTCATCATGCCAGTAGGGAGTCATCTCCCCCTGAAAACGTCTACTACATTTTTTAAGCACCCCTTCATTCAGCTTGTTTGATGTCTTCCAGTGAAGTGGTTTGTAAACATGTGTTCCTTCTGTCTTCTACTGGAGTGCAAACTCCTTAAAGACAGGGGCCAGATTCTTCACTTCTGTCATTCCCACGTGGTTTGGTTCATTTGAGTTCTCAACATTGTCTCATTGTTCAGTGAGTGAGTGGATATTTACTCTGCCTTGTGAGGTACAGGCAAGCATCTGAGAGTATTCCGGATCTAGTCTTTTATCTTTGGTTAGATTAGAAGACAGGCCTCATTTTGTCTCCCTCCTTGAACATCCTAAGGCATAGGGTGACATGTCACAAAACCCTTGATTCTTGGCAGTTTGGGGCGCCACTCACAGCTCCAGAGCCCTCGTTAGATCCTTGGCTTGCCCTGGGAGGACAGCCCACAAGCACGCTTTTCAGGATGCAGCATGTGGCTGGGAGGCAGGTGGCACAACGCCAGCCCACTCTAGTATGTCTGCACACAAGGACTCCACAGCATCCAGCCGCTCAATCTGTACCAGTTTTGTGAGCAGCTCAGGGATGCTGTAGCCTGCTGTGCTGATGCGGTCAAAGAGCTGCATGCCGTCTGTCATGCCCCCAATCTCATCCCTCTTCAGGCCGAAGCTCTCAGCGAGGTGGCGCCACGTTTTCACAACAGCCTTCTCAGAGTTGTACGTGGAGCTGAGCATTCGGCTAGTCTTCTCGAGGCAATCAAATGGCAGCTCCGTGGGGCTGAGACCTACAAACACCAATAGCCACAGTTAGAGGTTGCAAGTCACAGTCAATAAAAGGTCAACACCATCAAAAATTATTTAAATGAAATAAAAATTATTCGGAAATTTTTTTAAATTGTAAAACAAAACAGATGCAGAAAGTCACCTAAAACAAATGCATAACTTAGGGCAAACGACGCCTAGAACACTGCCAGCCCCAGAGAAGGCTGTGCATGTACCCTACCCCCAATAGTAGCCACTTCCCCACTAGGAAAATGACTGCCGTATTGACTGTGATAGTAATCCCCTCATGACCATTTTTAACAGTTCTCAAAGACTTCAAGACAAGTTATCCTTAGTTGGGTAACCCTGTCTCCTATGGGGCTGGGCTGAGGAAGGGGTCAAAGGGATGGTATCATGTCTCTTTAGGGAACAGTATTCAACTTTATGGTGGGTGCTTTCAGTGATAGCCCCAGATTGGGGTTATCTGAACCAAGTCATTGCCAACTCAGTGGTCTGATGGTTTTCAGGCTTCACGGTACATTAGACTCATCTAGGAGCATTTAAAAACTTGATATTGCTGCTTCTGGAAGATAAGAGTAGATATAATTTTCCCTAATCCTCTCATTCTGAATAAAACAAACACAAGAAGTCTCTGAAAAGTGGGGAGAAGACAACCAACTAGGGAACTCGATATGGATGGGATGGTGGTAAGTACCCTAGGTTTCCTTTTGCCTCATATATTCCAGACATGGGGCAGAAAAGTCCGGAAATCCAGAAATAATAGCAAGCACAGACAAAAACAGCCCCAACAGAAGTCTTCTCTCTCTAGTTAGAACACTAAGAAAAGAGCAGCCTAGCAAGCATGAAACATTTAGACAATAATTGCTCTATTCCAGCCAAACACTACAGAAAAAACTGTGTCCCTATTCCATCCAGGGTCGCAAAGACTGAGTGGGGAGCCTAAACTTCCACCCTCACCAGGCTGTAACCCTGTGCCAGGTGGTGTCAGGAAAGGCCATATAGGGAACTGGGAATTTCTCATCAACCAGCTGGTAACAACTCCCCTGTCCCTGCGGTGACCATGTTGAGAGCCATACTCCTAAATCCCAAGTAGCAGTAAAAAGGAGCCCCCCTTGCATGTCAGTGAAGAGTGGGGAATTTGGACATCTACCTTCACCAGACAATAGCAAGACAGCACCCTCATTCTTCTGCCGCAGAGCTATGGAAAGGAGTCAGCTAAAATAAAAGGCTTAAGTTTTATATCAGGACATGAAACTCTACAGGTTTCAAAGTGAATTCACTCATCATACCAAGAACCAGGAAGATGTCAAATGAGTGAAAAAAGTAAATCAATAGATAGTTACACTGAGATGACAGATGTTAGATGATCTGAAAACAGTTTTAAAGAAGCCATAATAAAAGTGCTTTGAAAAGCAATTATGAACACACTTAAAACAAATGCAAAAATAGAAATCTTCACCAAAAATATAGAAAATGTAAGAAAGAAATGAAAATATTAACTAAAAAAAATACAATAAGCACAATAAAAAGCTCAGTAGATGTGCTCAATGGCAGAATAAAGACGGGAAAGAATCAGTGAGATGGATAATGAAAATTAGAAGTTGAAATTATTCAGTCTTAGAAAATAAACTGGAAAAACACAGAGCCTTAGGGAACTATGGGGTAATAACAAAAGAGCTAACATTTGTGTCCTGAAATTTTAGGAGAGAAGAAGAGAATGGGGCTAAATAAGTACTCAAAGAAATGATGGCTTAGAATTCCCCAAATTTATAAAGAGAAATAAGTCTACAGATTCAAGAAGCTAAGCAAATCCCAAACAGGATAAACCCAAATATATTTACATCAAAATACATCATAAATGAACTTCTGAAAACAAAAGACAAAGTCTTAGAAACAGCCAAAGAAAAACAATGTCTGACCTAGAGAGGGAAAACAATTAGAATGACAATAGATACATAATCAGAAACCTGGAGGCCAGAGAGAAGTGGTATGGTATTTATAAGTACTGAAAGAAGAGAACTTTCAACCCAGCATTGCATACCAGGTTGCAGTGAGCTGAGTGAAAATATACTTCAGGAATGCATGAGAATATCAAGACATTCAAGTCAAAGAAAAATTAAGAATTTATCACCAGCAGATCTGCCCAAAAAGAAGCAAAAGGAAATTCTATAAACAGAAAGGAAATAATAAAAGAATGAAACTTGAATCATCAGAAAAGAACATAGTGAGCAAAACTATGGGCAAATACAATAGACTTTCCTTCTCTTTTTAAGTTTTCTGAATTAGGTAGTTGAAGCAATTTATATGGTTATAAATATGTATAGAGGAAATATTTACAACTACTATAAACAAGGAAGATAAAGGGACATAAAGAAAGGTAAGGTTTTTATACTTCATTCAAATTGGCAAAATGATAACACCAGTAAGGCCAGGCATGGTGGCTCATGCCTGTAATCCCAGCACTTTGGGAGGCTGAGATGGGTGGATCACTTGAGGTCAGGAGTTTGGGACCAGCCTGGCCAACATGATGAAATGCTGTCTGTACTAAAAACACAAAAAACAGCTCAGCCTGGTGGTGCACACCTGTAATCCCAGCTACTCAGAAGGCTGAGGCAAGAGAATCGCTTGAACGTGGGAGGCAGAGGTTGCAGTGAGCCAAGATTGTGCCACTGCACTCCAGCCTGGGCAACAGAGTGAGACTCCATGTCAAATGATAATAATAATGACACCAGTAGACTGATAAGCTATATGTGTAAATGCAATGTCTAGAGGAACTACTAAAATAACTATGGAAAAAGATAAAGTAAACAACATATCGCAACAACAAAATAAAAACCATATCACTCAAAAAACACCAAAATCAAATTTTAAAATATGTTCAAGTGATCCACAAAAAGCAGGAATTAAAAAAAACATAGAAATGAAAAACAGAGACAACAAAGAGTAAACAAAATACAAAATAGCAGACTTAAGCCCTAACATGACAATGACTACATTTAATGTAAATAGTTTAAATACTAACTAAAGGCTGAGCGTGGTGACTCACACCTGTAATCTCAGCACTTCGGAAGGCCAAGGCAGGTGGATCACCTGAGATTGGTAGTTCACGACCAGCTTGGCCAACATGGTGAAACCCCATTTCTATTAAATATACAAAATTAGTTGGGTGTGGTGGGGCATGCCTGTGATCTCAGCTACTTGGGAGGCTGAGGCAGGAGAATTGCTTGAACCTGGGAGGTGAAGGTTGCAGTGAGCCAAGATCACATCATTGCACTTTAGCCTGGGCAACAAGAGTGGAAACCCCAAAACAAAAACAAAAACAAAACAACAATAGCAAAAAACTAAAAGGCAGAGCTTGGTAGAGCAGATTTAAAAATTTACCCAGTTATTTGCTGTCTATAAGAAACTCACTTTAATATAATAAGAGAAGCTGGTTGGAAGTAAAAGGATGAAAAAATACATATCATGCAAACTTCAATAAAAAGAAGGCGGAGTGGCTATAACATCAGTTAAGGTAGGCTTCAGAGGAAAAAATTACCAGAAAGTGACATTTAATATGATAAAAGGGTCAATCCAAGAAAACATAGGAATCCTAAATGAATATGCACCAAATAACAGAGCTCCAAAATATGTAAAGCAAAAACTGATAGACCTGAAAGAAAAGACAAATTCACAATTATAGTTGATGACCTTAACATTCCTCACTCAGTAACTGATAGAACAATTAGAAAAAAATCAGCAAGAATATAGAACTTGACAATCATCAACCAACAAGATCTAATCAACATTTATAGACCACTCCATTCAACAAGAGCAGAATACATGTTCTTGATAATTACTGGCCTTAAACGTCAACAAATTAAAAGAATTGAAATTATGCAAAGTATATTCCTCTACCACAACAGAATTAAAATATAAATCAATAACAGAAAAATCTTCACACATTTGAAAACTAGACAACAGTCATCTAAATAATCCACAGGTCAAAGAAGATGTCTCAATGAAAATTTTAAAATGAATGAAAATAAAAATACAATGTGTTAATATTTGTGAGACACAGTTAAAGTAGTACTGAGAGGGAAATTTATAGCACAAATCCATACAAAAGAGGAAAACTCCCAAGATAATAATCTAAGCTCCCATCTCAAGCACTTAGAAAAAGATTAACAAAATAAACCAAATATACATAGAAAGAAATAAATAATTTAAAAATAAGAGCAGTAATCAATGAAATTGAAAACTAATTTAAGAGATAAATATTTGAAAACGATATTCAATAGTTGAAAACAAATATTTGAAAAGAGACAGTTATTTGAAAAGATCAACATAACTGACAAAAAATAGAGAAGATATAAATTAACAATATCAAGAATGGAGCAGGAGATACCAGTACAGACACTGTAGATATCAATCAGATAAGGGAAAACTGTGCAACTCTAACTCTACATGTATAAATTTGACAACTTAGATGAGAATAAACAATTCCTCAAAAACCATAAACTATCACAGCTTATTCAATATAAGATAGATCATTTGAATATACTTCTAACTATTAAGGAAGCTGAATTTGTAATTGTAAGACTCTTCAGATGGGTGTGGTGGCTCACGTCTGTTATCCCAGCACTTTGGGAGACCAAGGTGGGTGGATTGCTTGAGGTCAAGAGTTCAAGATTAGCCTGGCCAAGATAGTGGCCATTTCTACTAAAATACAAAAATTAGAACCGGGCATGGTGGCTCATGCCTGCAATCCCAGCACTTTGGGAGGCTGACGCTGGTGGATCACGAAGTCAGGAGTTTGAGACCAGCCTAGCCAACATGGTGAATCCTTGTCTCTACTAAAAATACAAAAATTAGCTGGGTGTGGTGGCACGCTCCTGTAATCCCAGCTACTCAGGAGGCTGAGGCTGAAGAATTGCTTGAACTTGGGAGGCAGAGATTGTAGTGATCTGAGATCATGCCACTGCACTCCAGCCTGGGACAGAGCAAGACTTCATTAAAAAAAAAAAAATTAGCTGGGCATGGTGGCACGTGCCTGTAAACCCAGCTACTTGGGAGGCTGAGGCAGGAGAATTGCTTGAGCCTGGGAGACGGAGGTTGCAGTGAACTCAGATCATGCCACTGCATTACAGCCTGGGTGACAGAGTGAGGCTCCATCTCAAAAAATAAAAAAATAAAAAAAACTTCCCCCAAAGAAATCTCTAGATCCACATGGTTTCACTGAAGAATTCTTATAAGGAAAGGCAAAGGAACTAGAATAGCTAAAATATTTTTGAAAAAGTAAAAGAAAATGGGAGCAGTCTATTTGATTTCAATACCTATATAAGTTATTATATAACTTATTCAAGAATCAAGACTGTGTGGTATTATCAGAGGGACAGACATGTAGATCAACGTAACAGAAGAGCGACCCCAGAAAATAGACCTATACAAATATACCAAACTGATTTTCGACAAAAGTTCAAAAGCAATTCAATGGAAGAAAGATACTTTTTCAAAAAAATGGTGCTGGAGCAATTGGACATCCATAGGAAAAAAAGATGAACTTTGATACAAGTATTATATCTTCTATAAAAATCAACTCAAATGCAAAATACAAAGCTATGTGAATTTAAATGCAAAATAAAAACTATGTGGACTTAGGCTGTGTGTGGTGGCTCACACCTGTAATCCCAGCACTTTGGGAAGCCAAGGTGGGTGGACCACCTGAGGTTGGGAGTTTGAGACTACCCTGACCAACATGGAGAAACCCTCTCTCTACTAAAAATACAAATTAGCCAGGCGTGGTGGTGCATGCCTGTAATCTCAGCTACTCGGGAGGCTGAGGCAGGAGAATTGTTTGAACCCAGGAGGTGGAAGTTGAGGTGAGCCAAGATTGCACCATTACACTCTAGCCTGGGCAATAAGAGTGAAACTCCATCTCAAAAAGAAAAAAGCCAAACTATGTGGACTTAAATGTAAAACATAAAACTATAAAACTTCTAGAAAAAACTGGGAGCAAATCTCTAGGATCTAGGACTAGACAAAAGATCTTAGATTTGACACAAAAAGCACAATCCATAAAAGCAAACTTTACAATTAATTTCATAAATTTGACTCATAAAAATCATACAATCCTATTGAAAAAAAATAGGCAAAAGACATGAAGAAACATTTTACTGAAAAGGACATACAGATGAAAAATAAACACAAGAAAGGATATTCAAACAACAGGAACATGCAAATTAAGATCACAAGAAGATATCACAACACACTTCTCAGAATAGCCAAAGCAAAACTTAGTAACACCACCAAATGCTGGCAAGGGTATGGAGAAACTAGACCATTCACACACTGCTAGTTGGAATGTAAAATGGTACAACTACTTTGGAAAACAGTTTGGCAGTTTTTAAAAAAACCAACCATGCAACTATCACACAATGCGACAAATGCACTGCTGCGTCTTTATTCCAGATAAATCACGATTGATGTTCACATGAAAACCTATACACAATATTTATAGCACCTTTATTCATGATAGCCCTTAACTGGAAATAACCCTGATATTCTTCACCAAATGAATGGTTAAACCAACTCTGGTCCATTTATGCCACAGACTACTACCTTCCCAGTGTCCACCAGGCTCCACTCCTGCTGCCTGGCCGGGCCAAGGAGTCTGAGGAGGCCAGCAGTGGGAAAATCCCTGACCTCAGGGGGTTTTCATTCCTCAGCAATAGAGAGGAAAGGACTATTGATACATGGAACAAGCTGGATGGACCTCCAGTGAATTATGCCGAGTGACAAAAGCCATTCACCAACAGTTACATACTATGTGATTCTACTTATATAACACTCTTGAAATGACAAAACTACAGGAAGGGAGAATGGATTCGTGGTTTCCCGGGGCCTAGGTCAGGGTGAGGTGGGTGGGAATTGACTGTCGCTATAAAAGGGCCACAGGAGAGGTCTTCATATGAAAGCTGAGTCTAGCTTCACTGTGCAAATATCAATGTCCTGGTTGTGACTTCTGTGCATATTTTTGCAACGTGTTATTCTTAGGAGAAACTGGGTAAAGGGCATGCGGGATCTCTCTGTATTATCTCTTACCACTGCATGGTAAGAAGTATCTCAAAATAAAAAGTTTAATTAAAAGCAAAAGCAACAACAACAAGAAAGAGACACAGATGCCTGGGATTCACCCCTGACTAATCACATCAGGGTGTTGGGCAGATGAAGTGGGCTGGGTGAGCAGGGATGCTGTTAAGACCTGCAGGTGACTCTAATGTTCATCAGGGCTGGGCACTGGGCTCAGATTCTCAGCTCTGGCTGTGCAGCATCAGGCAGACCTGGGTGCTGAGGGTGGCTGAGGACATGGGGCTGCAAGCTCCCGCCCCTCTCAGGCTCACTGGAGGGAATTCTTTTACATGTGAGGTTCCTAAAATTAATTTGAAAACTCCTGCCCCAGGGGTGTGGATTCAACAATTTTTTGGAACAGAAAAGAGCTTCCTGGTGGATGGAAGGTGAGTCCTAGACCATCTTCCCCTGGTCAGCTGACAGCCGCAGGCCATGCCAGGTGAGATCAGGCAGGCTGACCTGGGACGTGTGTTTATGGAGAGATGCCACATTTCAGCAGGCAGCAAAGAATTATTGGCCCTGGAATTCATCCACAGTATAGTTATTTCTGGCGAATGAAGCACTGGACCAGAAAGCCCGCCAGGCCACAGGGGGCTGCACTACGGTGGGGTTGGGGATGGGAGGAGGAGTATTGGGAGCATTGAGGAGCTGCCCATCGTGCATCAGGCTCCACTCCCGCTGCCTGGCCAAGCCAAGGAGTCTGAGGAGGGAGGACAGCAAGGCCAGCAGTGGGAAAACCCCTGATCTCAGTCACAAGAGGTTTTTCTTTAGAGTTAATAAGTAATTTAGAGAGTGGACTTTGCAGGAACTGGAAGCTGAGGATTATGATTTCAGATAGCAGTGCTGACAGTCCTAGTCCTGTTGCCTCTCACCTGCCCACATCCAAGCCCAGGTTACAGGGAGACAGTCTGACTTGGCTCAGAAAGCTGATGGGAGGGGAGGCTGGAGGCTCCCAGGGCCATCGGACATCGGGGACACTCGAGGGCAGGGAGAAGGCAGCTAAGTCTAGGATAAGTGACTGATCGCGTTTCCCAGATGATGATGCCAGTGTGGAGACAGGCCCTGGGGACACGGGAGATCTGAGGCTGCACGGGTCCTGCTCCCTGACCCTGTGTGTCCCTGCAGTGGGTGCCTGCACTGGGCTCTCTCCACCCCATAGGGGGAAGGGTCGTGGAAGCCCTGGGAGATGCCTTCTAATATCTGGGAGCCAGATTCCATTTCCCCACTCCTGAAGTCCACTCCAGCGGCCGTTCTGACCCGAGCGCGGCAACCGGATGGGCAGCTTCCCTCAGTTCCCCTCACAGGAGCGTCAGGGCTCCAGGCACAGCCCTTCACGTCAATGGGGTGGGCACCACTTCTCTCAGGCTTTCTTTCAGCTTACCTTCTACAACTCCACAGACGTTGGCATACACATCCAAGATCTTTTTCCTCCGGCCTTGAATCTGTAAAAAAGAGGAGAATTTTCACCTCCAGAAAGGCGGCAACAGCAGTGAGGAGGCAAATCCTCCATGTCAGCAGGGCAGGGGCAGCTGCGCCCAACACCAGAGATGCTGCACCCAGATCCCCATCAGCACCCCAGCCCTGACACACAGGGAGGAGGGCTTCTTCATGTTTTCCCACTCAAACGACTTTGGGGCCCACCAGGGGTACTTCTTAGGCTCAGCTGGGTGGTCAGACTCACAAGACACTTGGGGACACCCCTGGCATCAGTCTGTTTGAAAAGATGACCATGAGACTCCCACTAGCCCTCAGGACATCTGTGCCGCAGCAGAGCCTCGCAGGGCTCCCATTCCAGATCATGTGGCTGGTGCCAGGAGACCAGGCCCACGGGTTAATAAGAAAGTAATTTAGAGAGTGGACTTTGCAGGAACTGGAAGCTGAGGATTATGATTTCAGATTGCAGTGCTGACAGTCCTAGTCCTGTTGCCTCTCACCTGCCCACATCCAAGCCCAGGTTATGGGGAGACAGCCTGACTTGGCTCAGAAAGCTGATGGGAGGGGAGGCTGGAGGCTCCCAGGGCCATCGGACATCGGGGATGCTCAAGGGCAGGGACAGAGTAGCTAAGTCTAGGATAAGTAAGTGGGCTGCAGAGTCCTGGGGCCACAGTCACCTATCTCTCTTGTAACAAGTCCACAGGCTTCCAGGGTCCCTGCAAGTGGCAGCTCCATTACAGGTGTCACTGAACTTGGGACAGGCCAGAGCATGGCATCCTAACGGGATCAGGCCAGAGCCAAGATCTCAACTGGGCGTTTTGCCATAAGTGATGTTGCCTAGCAATACAGCTGTCTGCGGCTGAAGTCTGCAGCCGGGGGTACAGATTAGAGGGCCGACCACAGGCCAGGGCCTCACAGAGCCCAAGAGGGTTCTGCTCACCTTCACTCTCACCCCCACCCTGCTCCTGGCCACAGCACATTACAGGGTGGTAGGTGATGATAAAACCCTGGGGACAGTTTCTACATGCGAGCTTGTTTTTATATTTTAAAAAATGCATACCAGAAAAGTGTGTGTGTGTGTGTGTGTGTGTGTGTGTGTGTGTGTGTGTTTAGAAAATTTTCTGGTTGGTTAAAACCCAGTATGTTTACAAGGGTCTTTTTCTGCCCTCTGGCATTCCAAGTGATTTTACCTTTTTTCTCTCTGCTTATTATTTTTCATTTTTGTGTGTGAAGCTATATAATAAAAAGAAAGTAGCTGGGGGCAGTGGCTCAAGCCTGTAATCCCAGCACTTTGAGAGACTGAGGTGGGTGGATTGCCTGAACTTGGAGTTTGAGACCAGCTTGGGCAACACTGTGAAACCTCGTCTCTACTAAAGTACAAAAAAAATTAGCTGGGTGTGGCAGCATGCGCCTGTAGTCCCAGCTACCCGGGAGGCTGTGACAGGAGAATTGCTTGAACCCAGAAGGTGGAGATTGCAGTGAACCGAGATCATGCCACTGCACTCCAGACTGAGCGAGAGAGTGAAACTCCCATTTAAAAAAAAAGTGTTCCCCCCGCCTTTGGACTATCTTGCTGTAAACCTGCCACTGTCCAGGTCTCCTATCTGGGACTTTTGGGAGAAACACCCAGTCTTGCAGGAGAACTGATTCAGTAAGAAAGCTCTAGTCGTGCAGCTATGAGGGAGCCACATCTCATAGCTCATCATGGCACCTGCAGGAGCCTCACCCCAGCTGACTTGTTGCTGGTGGCAGACTTCTCCCTGGCCAGGTGAACCAGCGACAGCAGGCACAGCTCCGGGGAGCCCTGCTTGTCAGGGGCGGGCTCCTCGTCACTGTCCACGCTCCGGCTCAGCAGCTGCTCATTCTCGGAAGAGGCATCGTTCTCGCTGCAGAAACAAGAGCAACAGTTGTTAGCAGTGCCTGGGGGGCTGCAGCCCTGACACGTTCTCCCGTGGTGAACTTATTCATCCCCTACTGTGGACAGTTGGGTACAATGACTTACTTGTTTTTCAAAAATTTACTGGGCACCTTGTGGGCGTGGGGCCAGAGGACATGAGATGCGACAGATAAACCCATGGTTCCCTGCTCTTTTCCAAACAAACAAGTCCGTGGTGGGTGACCTGCAGGTGTCTAAGGGATTGGGGCTGCCACTGAGGGTGGAAGGCATCCAAGAGCCTCTCCTTTCCTGCTGTCTAACATGCGGTGGATGCTCTGTGAAGGTTCATTAAATATGTCCTAGATCCCTGTATTTAATCCCAATAAGGATCGAGTTCAACTGGTATCTTCATGTTAAACAAATAGGTTTATGTGACTGGCACTGAATCCATGCTGGCTCTCTAGAGTCACTGAAAAGGGGACTGAATGGAGCCTTGTGCCTGGAAAACCTCCTCTTGACTAGTGGGGTGACCTGGCTGACCTGTGTGCATTGCAGGGGATGGCACAGCAAGCCCCAGCGGGTGACTGGGTGGGCAGTTGGATGCACCAAACCCAGGATCATGCTGCCCCGTGGCTCACGGCCCGCATGGGACCCAGGGTCTGCCTTAGGCACATGTGGGTTGGAGCTTAAACTCTCTTAAAGCCATTCCAAGTATGTGAAAAACAATGTTCTTTTTTAGAGGCATCCCACTTGTTTCCTGTGGTTTGGCTGAAGACTTCTTTTTTCTTTAAAAAAAAAAAAAGATTAAAACTAGGTTACAGCAATGAAGCCCATATGCAAACACAACCCTAGAGAAAGGGTAATACAAAGAAAATGAGAACGTGATGAAGTCCTGGTGGGACCGACTTCCTCATCAGGCTTCAGGGCCTCCCAAAGAGGTGGTAGGGCCCATCCCTGTCCCCACTAGAGAGCAGGTGAGGTGGCACCCACGTCCTGTCTCCAAGACCCAAGAACAAAAAAGCAGGGACAAAAGCTCACTGCCTTGCTGTCTTTTAACATCCAATCATCAGGGTTCCATTTGTATTTAGTATTTGTGTATGAAATAAGTATATATTTTTTCCTACTAGGGCTCCCGTGTTTTTCTTGTCTTCAGCTGAAACTCAAGTCATGGGGCATGTCTCTGGCCTTTTGATTTTTGGGGATAAGAAAGGCCTGAATATCAGAAGGGAGAGGCTGAGACAGAATGAGATAAGGCTGGGCTGGAGGCTAAGGAGCAAATTCAGTCTCTAGGGAAGTCCTGTTTCAGAGTTACATCCATGCAAGTGACCAGGTCCTGCCCTTGGGATCATCAGCAGCTCGGGTCTGGCACCTCCCACCAGTCATGCCCGATGGGGCTTAGACCACAGATTCCTGCAGGGGTTCAATTGGAATTCAGGCACTTGCAGGAAATAACCACCCCAACACGCACTCTGTTTTTCTTTCCTAGTATGCAGAGACTTCATATTTGTTTGCCTCCTGCCCTTGTGTCAGCGTTGAGGACACTGGAGTTCTCCAAGTGAAATAATGCACCTGGCAATACTTTATGAATGCCAAAGCGCCACACGGATGCTGGATCAATTATTATTCCTCAACATGAATGGCTATGGTGAATTGCAGGAAGATCATGGGATGGGGGCAGGAGAGGAGGGCTTAACCTCTGCTCTTCCTGTAATCAGTTTGATGATCTGGGGGCTCTGTGCCCCATTTGCCGAGGGAGGCGCTGCTGTGCGGGTATCCTTCCAGTGAAGCCTGCAGTGGCCATGGGGACGAGGCCTGGCAGGGGGTCCAGGCACATTGCTTTGCTGGGAGCTGATGCTGTGGGGTTGATTTTTGGAAGCTATGCAGGACCAAGTCCAAATAAACATCCCACTGGATGAATAAAATATTTGCTTCCTTTTACTCTTGATTTTAGAGCAGGGGCTGGTTCCACACCTTGATGTGTGGTAAATGTGGGAAAGCCTTCACCTGCCAAATCTCCTCCTCCAGAGGCCTCTTTATGCCACGTGGCTCCTCGGGAGCCTGGACTCGGACCCCTGCCCTGCTGCTCACTAGTGTGTGACCTTGGGACTTCCACACCTCAGCGTGGTATCCTATAGACAGGGATGATATGAGCACCTTGCTCCTGGGCTGTAGGGGGAGGGTGCGTTCACAGCCCTAGCCCAGCACCTGGTGGGCAGTAGGCACCAAAGCTATTAGCCATCATCACCATAGTTGTTACCAGCATTACGGTGGCAGCAGTCCTGGCGCCGGCACAAGTGGTACCAGTGTGTTGGCTGCAGCAGCAGTCACGGGGGCTGCTGCATGCATCCTTGGCTTTATGTTCTGCCCTCCCAATCTGGAGAAGGGGAACGTGGAAGTCGGATGTTAAGAAGGAAGGCCCAGGGAATTTGGCAAGATGCAGGGGCAAGGGCCTGACCCCAGAGCCATAGGCAGCCATTCCCACGAGCTCTCATAGCACCTGACCCCTGCCGGTCAGCAAGGAGGCGGCAGGGACTGGATGTTGCCAAGCGTCCCCATGGCGTCTCAGGCCAGCCTGTCAGTGCACTAGGCTGCACTCTGGCTCCCCTCCCTGCTCAGGGGCCACAGGACCCCAGCTTCACCCTGGCGGTGGGGGCTTCCACATACCTCTTGGTGGGCTTTGCTGGAGTTGCTGTCAGCTTCTCAAATTCATCCTTCTCAGAGAACATCACCACATTGTCTGTAAGGAAATGGGGAGTTTCGAGAGACAGAAATTAGAACTGGCTTATGGCTCGGCGCTCAGCCCGACCCTGCTCTGAGCTTCTTATTGGGCAGAGCTACCTGGTGTCTGCATGGCACCACCCCAGGGTAAGCACAGCATGGTTCAGCATGCAAGAGCAGAAGCAGTAAGGAGGCCACTGCCAGGGACACCCTCCGCCCAGAGACGGGCACCGCGCACATGGGGTGTGGAAGCCTTGGTTCACAGACCTGGGGCCTCTTTCTTCTCCTCGTCCTTGCTCACTGGGGCCTCCACACTCTTCCCTGGGTGGCTGGTGCAGCAGGCTGGGGAGAGAGGAGGGAGTGAGCAGGCAGGCTCTCCGACAGGGGGAGTTGAAGGAGAGTCCAGGAGGCAGGGCACCGGCGCGTGGGGGCCATCACCTGGGGCAGAGGGCTTTGTCTTCAGGATGTAGAACATGATGATGAGGACGATGGCAATGGCCATGATGAAGATGGTGGACATCGCAATGATCAGGGCAGTGGCCAGGTGTCCTTGGCCTGAGAGCTCTGCTGGTGGAGAGAAGGCATGAATGACCCAGAGCTCAGGATCCCTGCTGGACTTTCCTCCAGGACTATGGCCCCTGGAAGCAATGACCCTGCCCCTGAGATGCTTTCAGGGAACCTTGGAATCAGAAGTGCTTGCTTAATCTGAGAAACAAATCCTTCACATTCGCTTTGGCTGCCAGACCAGGACTGCCCACAGCCCTGCTCGCTGCCCTCAGACTGGCTTCTCCAGACGTCTCCGGGAACATCATGGTCTGGGGTCACCTGTCTGTTCCTAGGGAGCTTGCTCTTGCTTCTACTGCTTTGGGAACCTGAGGGCAGGGTTTGGTGTGGAGAGGAAGAAAGGCCAGTGAACAAGAGTGTCTGGAAGGGAGCACAATTCAAGTTTGGGCATTTCCAAACAAAAGTCAGCTCTGGATTCCAGGTTTGGCACCATCTTGCACCTCATGCAATTTCAACCTAACTGTCATCATAAGATCCCCAGGGCACAGGCCACCTACTCCACCTGCTCCGCCACCTCCACCAGGCAGTCACCCTGGGGGATTTTGCTCCTCAGTCACCCCGGGGGATTTTGCTCACTTCCCTGGTTAATGCGGACCTTGGATGCATAAAATGCCCTGAAGCTCATTTTCTCTCTCTAAAATAACCAATCAGGACTTGGATTATCTTGAAGTAAGATCCAGATTCGCCACCACAAAATAGACAGGAGACAAGCATCTGAAGCTCCTGGATCATCTGGGGGGGTGGTGATGCCAGAGCTGAGGACCCCGCATGTGGGCACTGAATCTCCTGTGGGTGCATTTGTAGGAAAACCAGCCTCCCAGCATCATCTGGGGAGTACCTGTAACAGCGTTTGCATGCCAGGTCTGGATGACATAAGTGTTTTAATATTCTCTGTGTTGTGAGCAACTCCCCCCGAGGCCTGTGCAAATGAGATTCATATATCCTTGCAGTCTTTCCTTTTGCTCTGCCTTAGTGTGTGGGAGAACCAATGATGAGGCTGATGAGCTGGGCCCTCTGAGGGCTCTGGAAGGCACCTCATGGCTCGTGGAGACCTGGGCCCAAAATATGCTTCAATAACAGGCTGGCTCTAAACCAGTGAGAGGGAAAGGCCAAGCCAGCTGGAGGGCTGACTCAGAGACTTATTGAATTTTGGGGTCTTCCTCAATCCCTTCTTCCTTGAAGGGTTAGGGAGAATGAAATATACTTGCTGCAGTGACTATTAAAGTGCCATAGTCAGCAAGTTTATATGAAAGCTGGTGATAGAATTGCTGGTGACTCCTGGCCAAACCAAAGCCCAGGATGCCTGGCCTCTCCTCCTGGCCAGGCTTGTAGCTGCCTGAGCTGCCCACCTGCTGTTCTGCCCCCTGCCCCTACCTTCATCATCAGCACCTCCCAGCTGGCTCAGGACACCCATGGAGGGATCAACTCCACTCCTTGCAGAGATAATTACTTCCTGCATGGGGGATTGGGGGGCACCATGTCATTCAATCACATTAGGGATGTGAGGCCAGGTGGGGAAGCACACCTTAATCATTACTCATAATCATTTCCTCTCTTCCTCTGAGCGTTATTCCGACCACCACCTAACTCCAGGTGATCGATACCTGAGCACCCTCCTTACCTTTATGGGCATGCTGGAAGGGAGACATGGTGCTGCTGCCCGAGGTGCCAGGGAAGTTGGCAGAAGCTCCTGAAGTGGCTCCCACACCTGCAAGGAAAACAGAGTCCCTCAAATGATCTAGAGAAGCGCCACCTTCAAAGATGCTGCCATAGAGCTCGTGGATCCAGATTCATGATCTTGAATGGGCATGAGGCAGTGAAGGCCAAGGGGAGCTAAATAGCTGTATTTCTTAGAGTGTTTAATGAACCCTAAAGAGTCATGGTTATTGTTCTTTAAATAAAAGCACTCATGTGATAACTGTTGAAATTAAACAGTATCAGTTGGGGAGTTTTGCAAGCCTTACCAACTCAATTTTCCTATGCTTGAAGACAAAGTATATGAAGTCCATAAAAATAAGGAACATAGAATGTGTAAATGAAAGTATTACTAGGGTGACACAATACTTGATTAATTCCTTCAATTACATAGCCTAGGCATGTATTAATACTTTTTCTGGTCATAAAAGCAATATATGCTCACTATTAAAAATCTAGAAAAGGGGCCAGCTACGGTGGCCCATGCCTGTAATCCCAGAACTTTGGGAGGCCAAGGTGGGTGGATCACTTGAGGTCAGGAGTTTGAGACTAGCCTGGCCAACATGGTGAAACTGTGTCTCTACTAAAAATACAAAAATTGGCCTAGCATGGTGGCAGGCACCTGTCATGTCAGCTACTTAGGAGGATGAGGCAGGAGAATCCCTTAAACTCAGGAGGCAGAGGTTGCAGTGAGCCAAGATTATGCCATTATACTCCAGCCTGGGCAGCAATAGAGAAACTCCATCTCAAAAAAGTAAAAATAAAATAAAAATAAAAATCTGGGAAAATAAGAACATGAGAAAGGAGGAAAATAACTACCCATGACCTCCTTGAAGGTGACTTTTGCTATTACTCTCCAGGATTTTTCCTAAGACATTTTTACATAGTTGTGACCAAACTGTTCAACAGCAAGGCAAACCTTTCCTTAAAGCTATGCTTCCTAAAACTCCCCTTCTACAGAAAAAGCATCACTTAGCAGGGATAAAATGGAAGCTGATTTTGTTTTCAGTCAAATCACTAAGAAACAACCATTCAGCAAAAACAAAACTTTCCACCACAGAACAGACCACGTCCTGTTCCAGACCTCCCGAAAGAAGGTCAACCTTCTTTTAGGCCAGACTTCAGTTTTGCAAATAATAAAACCAACATGTTTCAAAGGCGTCTCCCACTCTCTTGCTTTTGTCTCTAGCAGGCAGAGTAGCAGTTCTGGAGAAACCTGGGAAGTGCATTTAGTCTACAGAAAAGCAGCCCCTGAGTCAAGGGCAAGGCCAGCTGTCTCCCCCAGATCAAGGCACCTCCCCAGCCTGGCCCAGCCCAGAGGAATGACTTAGCCCAGCCCAGAGGAATGGCTTAGCACTGCCTGGTCAGCCCACACAGCAAGGCTTCCAGGAGAAGCAAGCTTCCTAGTTGGGTGGTTTTTTAAGGTTTTGTTTTGTTTTTGAGACAGAGTCTCACTCTGTCACCCAGGCTGCAGTGCAGTGGCATGATCTCAGCTCACTGCAACCTCTGCTTCCTGGGCTCAAGGGATCCTCCCACCTCAGCCTCCTGAGAGCCTGGGAATACGGGTGTATGCCACTACACCTGGCTAGATTTTGTATTTTTAGTAGAGAAAAATACACATTCTCTGCTAAAAATACATTTTAGTAGAGAAAAATACACGGGGTTTCAACATGTTGGCCAGGCTGGTCTTGCACTCCTCACCTCAAGTGATCTACCTGCCTGGGCCTCCCAAAGTGCTGGGATAGCATGTGTGGGTCACGATGCCTGGGCTGGCTGTTTTTTTTTAGTAGTCAGTTCTCAGGAGAAACGCACATTCTTGTTCTCTGAGTGGAGGTAGCTCAGGAGCTAGTGACCAGCTGAGCTATCCACTCCTGTCTCCCGTAAGTGGAGCGGGGCCGCAGGACAAAGGGCTGGATGCTTGTCAGTCCTCCCACCTTATAAAGCAAACTGGCAGCTCAGCCATTGAAACACTGGGCTTGGGAGGGACCCCAGCAGCTGAGAGTGCCTGGGACTGTCACAGGGTATGTGAGAAACGTCACCTGCCCACGGAGGGGCAAGCGATGTTTCCTTATGTTTCTGGATGACAAACGGAAGCCCTTTTTCCTCCTTGGCCTCAAACTTATGATAAATCGTTGTTTTCTTAATTTAGCCGCTTACTTGGCCTCGGAACCAGTGTTCTTATTAGGGAAAGAGAAAGAGCTGGCCGGGCATGGTGGCTCACACCTGTAATCCCAGCACTTTGGGAGGCCAAGGGGGTAGAATCACCTGAAATCAGGAGTTTGAGACTAGCCTGGCCAACATGTTGAAATCCCATCTCTACAAATACAAAAATTAGTTGGGCACGATGGTAGGTGCCTATAATCCCAGCTACTCAGGAGGCTCAGGCAGGAGAACCACTGGAAACCGGAAGGTGGAGATTGCAGTAGCTGAGACAGCACCCCTGCATTCAGCCTGGGCAACAAGAGCGAAACTCTGTCTCAAAAAAAAAAAGAGCTGGTGTAGAGGGGGGCGCGCTCCTGGCTGAAAGCCACAAGACCACATCAAACAACAGAGCGTTCCCCTCACAGACCTTACTGAATTTGCTCTGGAAGTCTCCAGGGTGATAAGGGGACTTCAGATTGTGTGCCTATTTATGTTTGCTAGGAGGTAGGCTTCCACAATTCATCAGGTGAGTGAGCATAGGGGCATCAGGGCATCGTTTCCAGCATGACATCATTTCCTTTATAAAAGCAAACAAGACATTGAAAAGAAGCTGATCTTGCTGTTCAGTGAGATGCTAAAGGGAGCTTAAGATACACCATCAGAGCAAAAGAACAGCCGTGGGCTGTCTGTGGATGTTTGTCATCTTTGTCACTTCTTTTCCCTTCCTGCCGGGGCCTGCAGGCTGCTTCAGGTGACAGGATTGGGGACACAGATACGCCCAGGCCTGTGGTCTAGAGTGGGATGATAAATGCAGCCTAGAGGGCACACAGACTTGTGGAATGCCTCAATCCTGATCACTGGACATTTTCTTCCAAACACCTCCATCTGGCACCAGCCAAACCGTCTCTGACTGTGGCGGGCTACAGGTGCAGGCTGGGTGTTCCCTGATGTGCAGGGATCCCTGAGTTGGTCAGAGAATTGCTTGCCCTGAGCATGTGCATGCAGCTGAGGAGGTGAGGGCAGGATGGGTGGGATGGTGGACCCTGACATGTCTCCAGAGCTCAGCCTCTCATGTCAGGACTGGAGCTGAAGGCCGGCATCTAGTCAGCCAGACCCTACAAGCCCCCTCAGTTTCCAAAGTTCCCAGGGCCACCAGAGCATCGGCAGGGAGACACTTCTCATGACACTGGGCAGGAGAATCCCGGTCAATAGATCATTGCCGAAGGAGCAGGAGGACATGCAGATTTCAGACTTGCCCACAAGCCACCCAGGCCACCAAAGGGCAGCAGCTCACTTCCTGACAATGGGCCTCTTCCCTGTGCTCAGAGTTCAGCAACAAGGAATGGAGCTGCCCTTGCTGCAAATCACAAATAAAGCAAAGGTGCATGAGAATTTCCAGGGTGGCAGCCTCGTGGCCAACAGGCAAGGGCTGTGCTTGCGGCAGAAAAGGAAAAGATCTGCCCCTGGCACAGCTGTATTGTATTGGGACTGCTGCCACCGTAATGCTGGTAACAACTATGGTGCCTACTGCCCACCAGGTGCTGGGCTAGAGCTGTGAACGCACCCTCCCCCCACAGCCCAGGAGCAAGGTGCTCATATCCCAAGGCCTAGCTGGCCATATCTCCCCATTTCCCAGATGGGCAAGCCGAGGCCTGGGGCCTTGCCAAAGGAGCCTGTAACGAGAGTACAGCAGGACTGTCCATTTCTCTGCTGACCTCCTTCAGGGCTGGATTCTAAGGCCCTACCTCAAGGCCTTCCTGGGAGCCGGCTTTCAGTTAATCAGGCAAGAGCTGGAGGTGGGAGTGGGATGCACTCATTTTTAGCATCTCCAGGACTCAGCTGGGTACGGTGGCTCACGCCTGTAATCCCACCACTTTGGGAGGCTGAGGAGGGTGGATCACGAGGTCAAGAGATCAAGACCATCCTGGCCAACATGGTGAAACCCCATCTCTACTCAAAGTACAAAAATTAGCTGGGTGTGGTGGTGCACGCCTGTAGTCCCACCTACTCAGGAGGCTGAGGCAGGAGAATCGCTTGAACCTGGGAGGCAGAGGTTGCAGTGAGCCAAGATTTGGCCACTGTACTCCAGCTTGGCGACAGAGCAAGATTCCGTCTCAAACAAACAAACAAACAAAAAATCTTCAGGGCTCCAGGGACTTTGCTTTCTTTCCACATGTGATAAACATCATTGCTGGACTTAGAGAGGTACCCCTGCCATTACTCGAGTCTGTTCTGGCTGCCAGACTTTGGATATTGAAGGCTGTGCCGTGTGAGAGCTCCCTAACAGAAGAGCTCCTGAGGAGGGCTGCTCCTCTCCCAGTTCCACAGGCAAAGATGGTGGGGAGTGTCTGACATTTTCCCAGACTGGTCCTTCATCCCAGAATGATCTGGCCTTGAATCAGCCTAGATCCCCACAGAGGACATGTGGGCCAGGGCAGTTGGCTTCACATGGGTCAGGCTGGCAGCCAAGCAGCAGCCTCCTCTAATTTGCGAATTAATTAGCATATGGCTGGCCAGAAAAATGGCTCTGGAGATGAGCAAACCCACGGGTACAGGAGTCATGCACTTGAGTGATTTGGAAGGGAGGGAATGGCTCTCCCTGCAGCGCAGCCCACAGCACGGAATCCTCCTCCGGGCTTGAGCAGGAGAGAGGAGATGCTGCTCCCCATTCCTGCTCCTCCCCTTCCTCCTAGCGTGGTAAGATGCAGGCCCTCCTTCTCCTGGACAACATTATTATGAGACATGGTGGTAGGTGGGGCCTTATGGAGAGCACAGAGAGGCAGGGTCCCAGGGTCAGCTCCTCCTCCACCCTTAAAGGAGCCGGAGGGTGGCAAGTGCTCCTGCAGCCTGGGGACCAGGTGTCCAGCTTCCTCCCAGCTGCCTTTGTCTCTCCCCAGACCACACATCCAAGAGTCCACACAGCACATTCCTGAGGCAGAGGTACCTGGCCCTTCCTCATAAACAGATGACCATGAAAGCCAGACTGAAAGGGGAACAGGAAAGAAACAGCCCAAGGTGGGTTTACAAACTAGTGAGACTGTTTACATGTGCTTTGCGGAATCTGTTTCATTAACTGTGATCACACTATATTTTCCTTGGTCTCACTGTCACCTAGCACCTTGCAGTACTTTGCAAAATAGTACTCTATCATCCCTTTGATTTAACCATATGAAATGGGTAGGTCAGATGTTAGTACCCCCATATTACAGATGAGAAAACTGAGGCTCATGGAGGTGAAGTGACTTGTCAGGTAGCTGGTGGTTGACCTGCACTAGAACTTAAGGCTCAGCTCTGACAAACCTCCTCGCTTCATAGACCTGCCTGGACAAGCCGCAGGGGCATTTCCACTTACGCTGTTACTGTGATTCACCTTGTCCAGGTGCCAGGATCGGCTCCTTCCTACACCCCCCGTAGTGAAAGAGATCCATGCTGAACAAATACTGTGCTGGTGGAAGGACAAAGACACTCACATTCCTTGGTGTTGGGGGGTGCCAGGAGGCAGGAATAGCAGACCATGCCGTAGATGTTCCTGGGTCTGTTCTCCAGCATGTAGTAGCTACGGGGGTAAGACAAGACAAAACAGAGACAGGTGAGCCGGACAGCACACGGGCAGGGACTGGCGCAGAGAGCACGGTGGCCACGCTGCAGGCCCACAGTCCAAGTCGGGCATGAGGCCACGCCCAGCCAGCTGCCTTCTCTGTCCAGTTTCCTTGGGGTTGCAGCCTGTCTTGAAATGAAGCATTCTTTTAACAATAATGAGCCTCCAACATGGACCTTTCTTTTAATCTAAGCTCCTTTCTGGGTCTTGTTTCTGGTGGCTGTGTTTAGTGTATGTGCCATCACTGTCGTCCACCAGAAATACCCATATGCCCCACACGTAGGCCCTGCTTAACTCCCCGAGGGTCTCACCAGGGGGTCTTACCAGGTCCTTATGGAGGAGGAACACACCCTCTGGGAGCACCCTCCCCAGAGCCTGCAGCCTGGTGGGATTATAGGCATCAATGTGTCTCTGGGACACTTGGAATTTCCAGGCCATCTGCCCTGCTGCTGAATGCCACCAAGTGGAGCTGCCACCAGAGTGCAACTGCAGGACACAGACCGTTATGCTGTCCAGAGAGGTCAAGGCAGGTGGCCCTCATGGCAGCTGGCAACACAACTGGGTTATAAGTGCCTCCTCCTCAGGAAGCACTTGACGGAAGACACTCTTGGAAGCGCAAGCCTTCATGCCAGGGTGCACACACAGCGTAAGGGACAAATCATTCACAGTAGCTCCATGTGAAGTCTTCCAGCTCCCAGTGGTGTCCCATTCTCTTTCAGCTCCCTGATATCATGGTGCCAGCCCCATGGCTGTGTGATGCTCCGGCCCTGCTCTCAGAGGTCGGCCCTGTGGCTGTGCTCCCTGCAGCTGCCCCACTTCCAGGCACAGCCCCTGCTGACACCACCCTCTCCTCAGGGCTCCCAGCTCGGGTGCCTTCCTTGGCGGTTCTGGACCCTGCCCTAGCCCAGACCCATTTTCCATAAACAAATGCTCAGTGGAGAGCATGGAGCCATTTGTCACACTGTGAGAAGTCGATTAAATAATGTGAGTGATGCCAACGCTTTCCCTATTGTGATTCAAGAGCTGGGATAAGAAGGGATGTTTCCATGGCTGTTTTCTAATCTCATTTTATTAGCCAGGCCCCACAGAGGCCCTGCTGATGGCAGTGCTAAACAGCAGCCCTGGTGGGGGTCTGTGGGCTCCTGCCTTCCTGAGCCTGGACCGTTCCCAGTAACGTTAGGACCATAATTGCCTGCCCTCCCTCAAAGCTCTTTATCCTCAGATCCCTGTGTATCTTGTAAACATTAATTATCCAATCTCAAAACACCCCCCAGAGAATCTGTGACAGCCAGTTTTACAGCTAAGCCTCTCGCAAAGCTGCCTTTTGCCCTTCCAGAAGCCACCACTCTCCATGAGGCAGGCCAAGGCGCGTGTCTGCCACGTGGTTTTGCGAGCTCACAGGCATGTGGGACGGGCCAGGTCCACCTGCAGCTTTCTAACGACCCAGGTCCACACTGACAGTTCTGAGAAATATCTCAGGCTCCTAGGCAGCTACCTGCCCCCCATCTCACCTCCTCCATGCCTCACCTCCTCCGTCTCTCGCCACCTCCTCCTTTTCTCACTATACCTCCACGCATTCTGTCTCCCGCCTAGGGGGATTGGCTCCTGTACTGGGAGGCCCTCCTGGGCAAGACTTGCTGACATCTGTATTCCTTGGACCTTGTGCTAGGTACTAAGGGAGGATGGGTCTCTGTAAACAGTGGCTGAATGAATGAATGAGACCAACTTCTTCTCCATGGAAGTTGGATGCTGAGGTGAACGGAGGCCCCAGAAGGCCTCTCTGACCATCCTGATTCACACCCCAGGCACTGGGCTTGGTGTCTGTCATGGGTGAAGCTTCAAGGCCACACGGTGGCTGTGGAACACTCAAGCTTTACGATGGGTTACCACTGGGGCCACTACATTCTGAGCTTGGGGATGGTGGTGGCTCTGTCCTATGGCTGCATCTTTGGCTCGTCCTGGGCACCCAGGCACCTTCTGTCACAGGCTGGCCACCCTCATCTGCAGTGGTCAAGCTATGCAACCTATCAATGAGAGAATACTGAAAGGTGATAAACTTTTTTTTTTTTTTTTTTTTTTTTTTGAGACGGAGTCTCTCTCTGTTGCTCAAGCTGGAGTACAGTGGTACAATCTTGGCTCACTGCAACCTCCACTTCCTAGGTTCAAGCAATTCTCCTGCCTCAGCCTCCTGAGTAGCTGGGATTACAGGCATGTGCCACAATGCTTGGCTAATTTTTGTAGTTTTAGTAGAGATGGGGTTTCACTACTTGGCCAGGCTGGTCTCGAACTCCTGACCTCAAGTGATCCACCCACCTCAGCCTCCCAAAGTGCTGGGATTATAGTGTAAGCCACCGCACCTGGCCAGTGATAAACTTTTAAAAGCACATTGACTCCAAGAGGCTGTTATGAAATTGTCCTTCCTCACTTGGTGAGTGTTCAGTGCCTCCTGACAAGGAGAAGTCACTGTTTTCTAGCACATACTGCTGCATGCAACATTTCTAAATGTTAGGATCTCTCTTTAGGACTAGCCTAAATTCCTCACAATGTGGCTTACACCCAGGTCTCTCATTCTCGGCTGTGCAGCAACGAAGAATATGCACTTGTCTTCTTCCGCCTGGGCTTGTCACCAACCCGATGTCAGGTGTTCATTTCGGGATCCCTGGTGGCATCATTTCCGGATGCCCAGCTACAGAGCATCCGGTCCCTTTGTCTTTCTGGAAAGGTCTAATTTCCTACCACTCTTTGATCTATATTTGGCTTTCTCCCTAGTTCCCCTGGCCCCTGTTCTACATGGGTTGATGAAGGTGTATAGCCCAGGACAAGAGTCAGTTTAAATGGATTCCCTGGGGTCTGTTGTTTAGGGACTGACTTTCTCTCAGTCAATAGGTGTAGATTTTCCCAGAGTTCCTTTCCTCAGGACTCTCATGCCTGTAAGGGACGCCACAGGTTCCCAGATGTTCGTTTTCCTCTAACTGTGCTGCTGTACAGAGCCAGTGCAGGGCTGCTGCGTCCTGCCCCTGCCCCCGCCATCCAGAACCAGCTCCTCCTCACCCTGGAGAGGTGGGGAAGCGTAACCTCTCTCTCCCACTTTCCTATTTTGGTTCTCAGGTCCTCCCACACAACCTCTTCCGACAGGAAAGCCTCGGGTGCTGCTCATTGTTCAGCCAGTGTCCTGGCCACGCAGCAGGGAGGGCGGAGCATCAGGAGGAGCACCTGCCAAACCACAAGCAGGGGCCGGGGCCCAGGAGAGACTGGGATGAGGCAGTCCGCATCCGTCGCCTGACAGCCACTCGGATTCAGGAATGAACGCAGCCTTTCATGGAGCTAGTCACGCCGGCCTGTCAAGACTCCTGTGGTCCTCCTCTGTGACACAGCATGACAGCCTCCCAGGAGGAAGTGGGGCCTGCAGGGTCCTACCCTGGGGAAGCCTCGTCTGCAGTAAAGGGGGTGGCATGAGCCCCTGAGAGGGGCTGGGATTTGGAGGTGAGGAGGGGGCCTTCGATTTGGTGGCCTCGGGACTGGCAGTGATGATTTGAGCAGACACAGCACATCTCAGAGTCAACCTGGAAACTGTCCCCATCCTCTGCACCCCTGTGGAGCAGGGCAAAGGCACTCTGAGGCACGTGCTGAGGCTGTCTCTGCACAGGGTCCCTTGCCTGCCCAGCAGGTATGCTGGGTCTTGCTATGTCCTGGGTGCTGAGGGTGGTATGGACTGAACAGGTCATTGTCCCATGGAGCAGGGCGGGAGGCATCAAGCTTCCAGGACTGGAAAGAGTGTTTAAAAGCCCAGGCAGCAGTCTGCCCACTAATTCTGCAGATGGCCATCTACATTCGCTTGAATCCTTCTAGAGGCAGGGAGCTCACCACCCTTCCAGTATCCAACTTCTTTAACAATTATACACTTTCTGGTAAATGTATCAGAATCAAGCACTTTGTCTTCAAGCTGCAGAATCAGCCCTGGCCTTTGAGTACCGATGGACACATTTTCGGGTCTGAACTGTAGCCGGGCCAGAGCCGGCAGCAAAGGTTGGTGATGCTCCATGCTGCACTCGCCTTCTCCCTGCCCTAGGAAGCTGCCTCGTGGGGCTCCCTTCTGCCCCAGCAGCTCTGGAACCCTGAGTGTATAGCTGACTTCCTAGTCCTGGATCTCCACCTGGAGCTTCAGGCCTTGCCACTCATCTCTGGGTTAGCTCTCTTGGTCTGGATGTCCCACAGTCCCCTCAAATTCCACACATGCAGCCTCTATCCTCCCTCCATCTTCCCACCAAGCACCCTCTTGATCCTGCCTTCTGCAGCTGAGCAACTGGCACCATGTCCACATGGCCAGCCACAGAGAAGGCTGAGTGTCTTTTCTGAATCTCCTTCCCCTTCTGCATGCCATCTGCTCCCCTGGTCAATGCTGTCTACCAGGGGGTTCTTGGACTCTTCCTCTCCCTGACCCCCGGTGCCTCTGCTCCAGCCATCTCCCTGCCCACCACATCCCTGGTCCCAGGGCTCCAGGCTTTCCCTGCTCAGCTATGTCCCTCACTGCTGCTGGGAGGACACCCTGCTGTGTCCTACCTGGCTCAGTAATCTGTGTGCTGACCTACATCAGCTTCAAGCTGAAGGCTCAAGTCTTCAGCGGTGGTTTCCAACACCTGGTTCCATTTGGTCCCTGTCCTCCTGTCCAGCTTGTCTACACTCCCAGGTGTGCACCTCTTGCTCTGGCCACAGGGACCCAATCAGAGCCCCAGGTGCTGTCCAGCTGCTCAGCCCTCTGAGCTGTGGCATCAGCACTTCCACTTGCAGGCCTCTGTCCTGCTTCTTAGCCTGACTCATCCAGGCATCACCTCCACAAAGTCTCCCAAGACCACCGCTGACACTACCTCCCCAGCCATGAGGTGAGAAGTCCTGCAACTCCTAGAACACTCTGAGTGTGTCTTATGCACTGAGCTGTGGTCACCTCCCCCATCCCCACTGGCCTCATCACTGCTGTCACCTCCCCCATCCCCACTGGCCTCATCACTGCTGTCACCTCTTCCACCTGCACCAGCTGAACCAGAGGCACCACCCCTGCTTTGAGTCTCTATCAGTAGCCGTTGCAAAGCATTATGTGTTGTGGCCACTAGGGGGAGGAAGCAGCCGTGGCGGGGGCTCAGCATTTTCTGGGGATTGAGAGTCTATTTTCCTGGTCCCTGGCAGAACTTACTGAGGGGTCCTGCCTGGGAAAAGGAAGGTTTTAACTTTCTGTCTTTCAGGCTAATTGCGTTTTCAGTTTTTTTGAAGACTTCTGATGCATAATAATTTTGGTGGGATTATGGGTATCATATGACTCAAATATTTTTATTAGTAGCTTCCACACAGTGTTCCCAGAACGTAAAAAATACTGTTTTTGTATGAAATTTTAGTTTTCTTTTTTCCAAAGTGTTTGACGTGTGTTATTGCACTGTAAGTATTCAAGCAATTTTGGTGGTCAGAAGATATATTATGTTGGTTAATGGCCACTTAAGGAGACACAGAGGCAGAGCCTGATGGGCTGCCTGTCCACCGAGGGGCCAGAACTCTCCGTCCTGGATGCTGCCCATTGTGGGACAGAATCAAGGCCAGGTGTGAGGCTGCAATGAAGCCTACAGTGTCCATGACCCCCTGTTCCCAAGGCCCTTGCCCATCGCCCGAAGGGGTTTTCTGCAGAAAGCGTCCCAGGGTTTGCGAGCAGTGCCTGTGCTTACCCAGGGAGACAAGGGCCACACTCAGCGTCGTTTTCCATGTCCCCCGGTGTCAGCACGGTGGCCCGGAAGAAGCCCTCACAGTCTTTGTGGCGCCTGCAGATCTGGTAGCCTCCTTTGGAAAACTTCTCTGCTGGGCAGGGGACGCAGCCGTAGTCCTCGTCTTTGGTGCCATAGCCACAGGACTGGCCCGGGGAAGAGGACGGGACACAAGTGAGTACAGCAGCCAAACCACATGGACTCAGCCCATGGGCCTTGGGCAGTGACATGCCAGCTGTGTCCAGAAGCTACTCTGGCAGGACTTTGGTTTCCTGATTCGTCCTAACTGCAAAGCCCCCCAGGAACCAGCTCCCTCTCCGGGCTTGCCCCTCTCCTTGCCACCCTCCGGCTCCAGATGCTGCCTCTTTTCTGAGCATCCCTGAGATGAATTCGGCAAGCTGCTGGAACGCAGGCAGTGCAGGTAGCACTTGGCGTCTGACTTTCCTCAGCTTGCTGCAAGAACCTGACCCTGAAACCCTGCAGGTTTCCCTTAGTGCTTAACAGGACACCCAGGCTTAGCTTGCCCAGAGAGGGAGGGAGACGCAGCACTCAGGAAAAATGTACTGGTACTGGAGAACATTTCAATCCTGCTTCCAGTCAGATGATCTGACACTCATTTAATCAGGGTAGAGTGGGAAAATGATCTTTAAAGACATTTCAGAACTCCCGAAAGATCTGTTTTTGAATGCTCAGCTGGCGAGCGCCGTTCCTGAGTGAGCGCCGTTCCTGAGTGAGCGCCGTTCCTGAGCGAGCGCCGTTCCTGGGCTCATGGCAGCTCTCACCATCAATCTTAATGTCCAGGGAGTGTGACAGGCTGGGTTGATATGCCCTGGCGACCCCTCACGCAGCAATGCAGGCTGAGGGCAACGATGCTGCAGGCAGGAGGGCTCCCCCGAGAGTACACCAGGCTCCAGGAGGGGCCTTACCAGGTAGGGCTCCTTACCAGGTAGGGCTCTTCCCCTGGCCCGCACAGGGGGCACTCCTGGCACAGCCCCGTAGTCTGGTTGTAGTATTCGTTCTCACCGCAGTTTGAGTATTCTGCTCGGGCCGAGTACATCAGAGACACCTGCCAACAAAGGAGGGTGTTGTGGCCTCCAAGCCTCAGAAACGTGTGTGCCTCCCCCAAGAGCCCAAAGTTGACATAGGAAGGGGGTGCCCTGTGGTGGGGGCTTTGCTGGGGGCTTGATCTGGGAAGGTGCCCGCTCGTGAGTGCTCACTGCTGCTAAGTCTCCAGGACTGGTTGATCAGCCAGGAGCCACTGGAGACTTAGCAGCAGTGAACACTCACGAACGGGAACCTTCCCACTGGCCAGCCCCCCGAGAACCACCCCTCCTCACCCCTGCTGGCCAAGCCCCATCCCACTATCAAGGCTTGCTCTGAGTTCTCCTCATCCACTCCTCATCTACGAACTTGCCAAGGTCATGGAGGAGGTGCCCCTGTCCTTCACCGTGCGTCTAATACAGTGACTCCTCAGAACGCCATCGTGTCCAAGAGAATGGGGGTGGGAGGCTGAGTCTTCTGGTTCTTTCTCAGCTGCATGGCTCCCAAGCATGGGCTCATCACGTAGACACTGGGCTGTGTGTATCACACTACAACCGAGCACTCAAGAACTTTTCTACCCACGAGACCCTATGAAGGGAGCTACCAACAAAATAAATCTAAGTTCAGCCTGGGGCAGAGTTCTGTGCTTTGCAGGCATGGTTTCATTTCACCCTCAGAAGAACCCTGTGAAGGAGGGACTGTGATCAGCATTCCCATTTTATTGCTGAAGAGGCTAAGATATGGGCCAACCATCACCAGGATGAGGGTGCTGTGGGGGTAAGGGGCTCGGAACACTTACCACCAGGACGGGGAGCCAGGGCGTCTGTGTGCAGTCCCCCACATGGGCCATCCTCTCCTGAAGGCTCACCTGCAAGACACATGTCATTAACTGGGCCCTGGTGGTACCTCCCCAACCGGGGGTCAGGCTTCCTTTATTTAACCCCACTGGATATAAGGTGTCTCCCAGCAAATAGAGGGGAAACTACACACCCTAAAATAAAAGGCAGAAGTGAAGCTGAGACTGTACCCAGGCCACTTGGGCTAACTCTGAGGCCTTCCCAGCCTCGCAGCCATGCCCAGGCAGGAGCCTGAGAGGAGGCCGGGAGCACATGGAGGGTCCATGGTGAAGCCCAAGGTTACTGATGGTGTTTCATGTGCTCAGAGGATTTGGAGAAACCCAGCCTTACATGAACTTTAAGTCTGGAGTCCTCCAGGTCCTGGCCCTTGGGCTTCAGGATACAGGAGGACCCCAGGAAAGAGTGCCAGAACTCAGATTCTTGTCTGTCCCCCTCCAGATACTCTCCCAGCCCCACCATAAGGTTCTTCCCTCCCTCTGTTAAGAACAGGTCGTCCATCAAAGTGGAGAAGTCCAACAACGTAACTGTACAGTTGAGATAGTGGAAGCCCAGAGAGGTTAAGTGACTTGCCCCAGGTCACACAGCTACTTAAGGGACTGAGCATGGCTGCAGCCCAAGTGTTCAGATGCTTTTCACCAATTAATACTACACAAATGCACTGCCTTGAAGGAGGAGTTTGTTTGTTTGTTTGGTTGGTTGGTTTTTATTTGCTTGTTTTTTCACTTTCTGAATGAAGACCTGTGTTTCTGACTCAAAGCAATTTTACCTGGGAGCCTGGTTATTAATTAACCTGGCTGTATAAAGAGAGATAATGTGCTCAGGTGGATGCCCAAATTCCCCAGTGGCCGCACTCTGGTTCACTGTCCTCTTGCTGTGACAAAACAGCAAGTCCTTTCCTAGAGGCTGGGTTGTGTGAGGAACCTTCCAGAATCATCCACTGACTCAGACCAGAAGCCCAACTGGGCCATGGAACCCAAACTCCCCAAGACCTTTTACCCTCAGAATCCTCTTGTCCTTAGCAAGCCATCAATGCTCATGAAAATCAGTAACTCCCAATACCACACACAAAAATGCCATGAGGAACATATGCCGTGATGCATGGGAGCCTTCCCTCCCTTCCTCCTTTTCTTTCAGAAAAGTCCTGCAACATCCTAAAAGCATTAGGGAGAAAAGCAGCCAAAGATTACTAATTAGAAATAAAGAAGTTAAGTTGGAGAAGGAGGCAGGAGCTTTGTAAGTCAGCAGGAACGCCAAGAGGAGAGCAAAAGACCAGGGGGCCCAGTCGGGGGTTTGACACACACACTCTTCTTTTCCAAATCCCCCAGGACTTAAGGGCTTATTCACTGAGATTTCTGGAAAAAGAGTGGCCCTTTAGGGGATACGCCCAATGCCCAAGTCCTTAGAGAAAGGCTGCTAGGGAGCTTCCAGTCAGCTGGCCTTCCTGAGGTCCCTGGGGAGCACTCCAGTCCTGCCTCCCGAGTGTGACAGCAGGTGCCTCACTCCCGTAAGAAGAGGGTGGGCAGCATCCAGGCAGGGCCTTAAGATAGCACGCTTGTTTACCATTGCAACAAATAAACAGCCAAGAAAAATCCAAAGGAACTTCAGTTTCCTGGAACACCAAGTAGGGCTCTACCACCTGTTGCTGGGTGAGAAAGAAACTGTACAGAAGAATTGCCTCCGGGTGTATTTGTAAAGTTTCTAAAAGCATGAAAGCAGATCTGGAGTGATGCCTGCTGAACTTCCAGCAAAGAGTTTTTGGCAGGAACCGAAATCGGATGGGGGTGACCAAGGACTGAGGGAGGGTTCCGGGGAATGTTCGCTTTTCATTTCATGCAGGTCTGTGTTGTCTGAACAGTCTACGAGAGTGAGTATGAATTCTGTGATAAAGGAAAAAGCATGTGATACTGGCTGCTGAAAGAACAGGCTGGGGAAGGGGGGTCCCAGGGGTGATCGCGGAGGACAGACCTGATTAGGGTCAGTGGCAAAGCACAGCGGTGGTCCTGGGTCTTTCCTTGGGCCCCTGCTCCTGGCCCAGTCACCTTGGAGGTGTCTCACTTGGTGAAGACCTTCAGGGGGCTTTGTGGGAGGGCTCTGTCTCCAGACCCTCTGGATGAGGTTCAAAAACTGCCTTTTCGCACACACTGCTTGCACTTCAGGGCTGCATTTACCATTTGGAAAACACTAAAGGGACTGAGGCAAGATTAAAGAGCCAGCCACCCCAGTGGTGAACTCGCTGGGTGTTTTCCTTCTAGCAACAGAGCAAGCTGGGGCAGGCAGCGAGGAGAGGTCAGGGTGGTGGTGGGGGGGATGAGGGGGGCAAGGGCAACCTGCAGCCCGCCAGGTGGGGGAGGGTTGGGTGCAAGCAAAAGCCTGAAAGGGAACTGATAGGAGCCTGATCCCCCGCCCAACAGCCCTGGACTTGGCTTCAGGATGGTGGGGTTAGCTGAGATAGGTTTCCACTGAGTCTGTGGATGGGGCCAGAGGCTCTCAGCAGGGCTGGAAGCCTTCCAAGAACCATATGAATGGTTTCTAATTTAATTGACTTCTAATTATAGCTGAGCCTTGGAGGGCTTCCCTGAATAACTGAGGAGGGCTGGGCCTGCTGCACCTTGGTGTCAACCAGGAGCACTTGTGGAAAGGCACATCCAAACTGTTCCCAGGTAAACCCAAGCACAGAGAAGAAAAACAAATAGATACACAAAGTATAACTGAAAGTCTGTGGCCTTAGATGTGTTTCATTATTGTTACCAATTATCTGAGAGGGTGAGTGGGGCCCGGGGGGAGCACAGGGCAGCTTGAGGCTTGGGTCCCACTTCTCAGACTGCAGATGCAGGCAGGACGTGGGCCACTGGGCGCTGGGGGTCTGACTGCTCCCAGTCGTGAGTTCCTGTTTGTTTTACTTTGGGGATTCCCAGTCTCCATCAGTGCCTGCCAGTGCTGCTGAGGTATGAGGCCAAGGAGCTGACTGAGGTGGGGCTCCAGCCTGGTGCACACTCCCATATTTGAGCTCCCATATTTGTAACAGTGATGGGGAGGGGGAGCACCTCTCTTAGTCTGTTGTGCTTCTAGAACAGAATACCACGATCTGGCTAATGAACTGAAATTTATTTGGGATTCTGGGACTGAGAAGTCCAAAAGCAAGTGGCTGCATCTGGTGAGGGTCTTCTTTCCATGTCATAGCATGGCAGAGGGCATCACATGGTGAGAGAGTGCATGGGGGGGGCAAACTGTTATAACCAGCCCACTCTCGAGATAACAAACCCACTCCTGCAATGACGACATTGAGTCATTCATGAGGACAGAGCTGTATGACCTCATCACCTCTCCACCTTTCAAACCTGTTCTCTGATGATTAAGGGATTAAGTTTTTAACACATAAACTGGGGGGTAAAACATTCAAACCACAGCAGTGTGGAAATGTCTCTTCCCATCCGAGGCAGACAAGGCTGCTGCTTAACTGGTGGAACAACCAGTTAATGGGTTAGTGACCCAGTTTGGGGGTTGTGAAGCCAGTGGCCACCCAGCAGGTTCTGTGAACACACTCTTTTGGAGTCTAGCCACACCTGTTACCTGATGCCTGTGGTTACCTAGTGCCTGTGGCCATTTCATGATATGAGATCCCATGACCAGGTAAGTCTAGAATATCTTATATCTGGCCCTTTATGCAAAAAGTCTGCCCACGCCTGCCTGAATTGACAGCTTCTCTTCCCCCACCTGCTGTCTCCTTCTCTGCCTTTGGCCCTTCCTTCCTCAACTCTATTCCCACCTGTACACAGCTGTAATCACATCAGTTTACTACTACGGAGCTCAGACCCCTGGCCAGACACCACCGTGGCTTAATCCTCACCATTGCCACTTTGTTGCTCAAAGTGAGGCTCTTGGACTAGCAGCATCAGCATCACCTGGGAGCTCATTAGAGATGCAGGATCTCAGCCCCGCCCAGACCTGCTGTCTGGGATCTGCTTTTCAACCAGATCCGCAGGTGGTCTGTGTGCACATTAGCGTTTTGAGAAGCGCTGGTCTGGACGACCTCCTATCAACATCTTGTTGGGGTGGGGAGAGAACGTTTAATGTTTAATTAATGTTTAATTCCCTCTGGGAGCCCAGGAAGAAAGCCTTGGCTGGATCTCTCCCGCTTTAAGTTCTGGTCTTCTTCCAAGGAACAAATGTCGTCATTAGCACCCCTTCTCGTACACACACATCCTCTGCATGAGACACTACGATTCCCTTACTCTTGTTTGTTAGAGTTCATTCGTTCATTTATTCAACAAAGAGCTGTGAGCTGCTACCATGTGGCAATCTTATAGGCCCTAGGGGTGGTGCCAGACAGGTAGGGCCCCTGCTCTATTGGGCCTTTGTCTGTCCAGGGAGTTAGACCTGGAAGACATCATCGTACACAAGTTTGGCCCACTTTCCTAGCTGCCCTCCCCTAGACTCAGTCTCCTGCTTGAGCTGCTCTCCTTTCGGAATGGCCTTCACCCTGGGAGGTGTGGCTCTGACTCTCTCTCCCCTTGTCACCATGTTGTCTCCAGAGCACAGACAGTGGCCCCTGCAGGAAGAAGAGGGGCATCCTTTCTACTGGTCACCACCTTTAGGAGACGCAGTCCCTGCCTGAGCTAGCAGATGGTCCAGCCTCCAGGACTTCCCATTTTTCCATTCAGTTAGCCCCCTCTTGACTGTGACGGTGCTAGCCTCTTCCAAAAGGTTCTCCCTGAAGGAGCCACACCTCGTACCTGTGGGAAGCAGCTGAGGCTTGGTAGCTGTGCGAAACCTGGGCAGGCCTAATGGTTCAAGTTACCTTTTCAAGTCTGTAGGGTGGATGTCCCTCGTGTCTGTGGCCCTTTTCTATCCTTCCAGCGTGCTCACCTGACCTGGCCCAGCAAGGCTCACCATGCCCTGGTTGACTGCATCATGGAAAAGGAGGGGAGAGGCCTGCGGCTGGCCCACCCAGCTCCATGGGCACAAGCTCCTCCACGGCAGGAGGCAAGGCACTGGCAGCTGCATGCGTCTG